GACGAATCTAAGCAGAAACGACATATTCTTGACGAAAAATTGATTTAATATTTATTTCAATGGAAAATTATGTGCTATTTTATTGATAGAAATAAGATCATTTTGTACTGATACAATGTTGTAGATACTTTTCATAAAAATACAAAAACAAATGTCAAAGGTCTGTTTTGTTCGTATCTTCATATTTACTGATTTCACATATTCTAACGAATGTCGAAGCACAAAAGTGGAGACAACATATTGTTAGGTTAACATACTATCACACTATATTATTATTATTATTATTATTATTATTATTATTATTATTATTATTATTATTATTATTTGAACACATATATTATTGTTCATTATTTTGAATGCAACGAACTAATAATTTCGATGCGCATTGAGGGTATACATTTTTGCAAGATATTTTTCTTTTAATATACTGTTAATAGTCATTCATTGAAATTCAGTACTCAAATAATCTTCGACCTGTTTCTACAAAACAATTTTTCAAACTTACCGAGAATTAGCACGACGTTTCACTTCATGGATATTGAGGTCAGGAAAATCACAAGGCATGACATGTTTGTCTCTGTAATCTGATCATATCACTCAATAGTTTGTTTGAGCGTCAGATGTGTAAGGAGTCAAAGGAATTATCAACTACGATTTAAATTATTTGTGCGTTGACGTTGAATAACACAGGCACACAAAATAAAAAGTTGGTAGACCGAAATACTTGACACATGTTTCTTTATGTATGTCGACGCGCTGAATCCGAATATGAAGCCAGAATTGCGCCACCACCCTCCAATTTGTTTTAAATTTCGAAAGAACACCGTGAAATCCCCGAAAAAATATAACTTCGCGGTGGAATTTTGCGATTTAAAAACAATTGGAAGGTGGTGGCGCAATTGTGGCATCAGATACGGATTCAGCGCGTCGACTTCCATACAGGTACATGTATCAAGACTTTTAGTTTGACAACAACTCCTCGAAAAAAACAACAACACATGTTCACGATTTTTCTGAGGTTTAAAAAAATGGAGGGTGATGGCGGATTTCTGGCTTCAGATTCGGATTCAGCGCCGTGAAGTACGTAGTAAAACATGTTTCACGTCATTGGGTCTGACAACTTCTTTTCGTGTGCCTGTGTAATTAATCCATTACTAATAGTTTAAGCCTGCTGTCTGAGTATTATCAGACTGTCAAAACAGTTTAATTTTAAAATTGTTACAAATCAATGGAATATTTTGCAATGCCGCTATAACAATTGCCCTATTAATGTAAGAATCATATTTTACTTCGAAATTCTTACATAAAAAAAAATTCACCGCATGAATAAAGAAGACAGGGGAGAAGACATGGAATTTGTTACTTTGCCGCCCACAGTTTTAACACGAAAAACGTAATACCTTGAACACTAAGAATAACTGTAGAAAAGTAGCCCAAATTGTGCATGGCCAACATGGTATACACTTGCACTTTACTTTGGAATTTCAAAGATCACATTGATATGCTTTCTTTCCTTTCTTTTCTTTGCTTTCTTTCCTTTTCATCGTCTAAAAAATATTTCTATTGAAAAGATTAAAACATTTTCTTCTCCTGCAAAAATGGATGAAATACTTAAATACACAGATAATTTTTTAAACAAAGACCCTGGTCCCTTCTACGTAAGAACAGAAAGTATTTTGTTTATGCCACGGAAATCGGCAGTTTTGAACGGAAAAACTCTTCTTACCGGACCCTCGTAAAGAACAAAATTAATAAATATTGCTCCTACATATGTAGTGAATTATTTCCTCTAACTGCTAGAGGAACTTCCCTTAACATACGTGCCAAGGACTGCACGCGATCTTTCCTTCCTGGCCTTAACTTCACCCCTTACTTATTCACTTACACACACACACACACGCGCGCGCGCGCGCGCATTTACATGCAATACACTACCACACATGTTGAGATATCAGTCAGGAAGCTAGAACTTGTCTCGGCTTGGGCGGTGGCTCGCTAGAGGTTGATATCTGGATGGTGAAAACCCTGCAAACTGACATGTAGATCGGCGCCGGATCTCACTATCTCCCGGGGTAAAAACATACCCTACACTACGAGACTAATCGCCATAGCAGTTGACGCGCCCGGATACACATAACAATAATAATAATAGTAATAATAATAATAATAATAATAATAATAATAATAATAATAATAATAATAATAATAATCGTCATCATCTTGAAAACAATAAAATGCAATTGAATATGAAATAAGTATTCAAGCATAAAACAGAACAGGAGTCAATTCTTTTAGCGATGAAACAGCTTTGTCGTTAAGTCAATGAACATTCTCAAAAAGAGAGAAATTAAATATTTCACGGAAAAATAATATTTGAATGACACAAGAAATTAGAATATCCCAATGCTAACAAGGTGTACAAAAGTTAAAATTAAAATTGAACACTAGTTTTATTGTACATTGAAAAGTTGATGTCTGACATGTATTTTAAACCTCATTGGTTGTCTCTTCGTGGCTTAAAAAGTGTCAGCGCAGAAGTTGCGAAGGTAGTTATGACCACACACTTTCCATGGCCCTGAGACTGTCAATTTCCCTTGCGTAGTCGTAAGCCTGATGTATACAATGTTTAACGCAAAAACTAGTGTGCGTAATGATATACTGCATTAAAAATGACTTCAATGTATTAGGGTGAAGAGGTTATTAATAAATACAGATTGGCCCTTATTCAAGCAGATGAATCGTTAATTCCCCAAAAGACAAGATTACGATCAAACCAGGAATGCGGTTTTGCTTCTGGACATAAATGTAGCATTACTAAGCAAACGTTTTGTAGGGCTCTCCTTTTGCTGGTTCTGTTTGGAGTAGAGCGGGGGATGTGGATTGCTATTTTGTTAGCAATATTGAAGAAACAAATCGTCGTTCGTTTACCGATGCACATAAATTTTCTTCAACTCGAGAGCGAGAATACCTACTTTCCAAAGGTTGTTAACTTTGCTTTCTTTGTACGTTTTTTCATAATTCAAATATGTATAGTACAGAGTGGGGAAGATATTCTGGAACTTGAAGCTGAGAAAACGTGTGCAGATCGTTTATCTCCCCCATACATCGCTTATATTTTTTACTGATCTGTGACAATAAATCAAATGAAATCAAATCAGTTCGATAAGTCTGGACAACGATGCAAGAGGAGAATTAAAAAGAAAGCAATAAAGCTTCATTGTTGATATTTCGTTGATATTCTTGAAGTTCAAAAACGTTTAATTTAGAAACGCAAGGTCCCTTGTTTTTTAGACAATCATTTAAATATTTAAGAAATATTACACTTTGATCATAAATTAATTTATATATCGTATTTTATTTGATATTTCGGGAGCCTGGGTTTACTACCATTTTCAGGTTATCTAATATATTAGAATGTTGAGACTATGGTTAAAAACTATTGAATTTTTAGTAAATATGTCTTATTATGATAATTTCATGTAACGGTCGATCTAGTACGCGACTAAATAATCATGCATACTTTGATTGTTGTATGATACACACATGGGAACATTTAAAAACAAGATGCAATTGGAAATTTCCCACTCTCCTCTTCAAGGACAGTTTATGTTAGTATATTTTGAAGGGCATTATATTGGCTGGGACATGAAGGTAAATTCCGTATGAGCACCAGATTTCTTTTTAGTTTCTCCTTGTCTGACAAGTTTGAATGTTGAAATTATGGAAAATATCTGACAACCTTAAAAACTATTTTCAACGAAGACAACTTTCCTAAGTAAAAGTCTAGGCAGGGAAGAATTATTAAGTTTCGAGTATAATGGTCGACACGATTCACGTTGATCATGTTCGTGATGTTTCGTGCTAATAAAATATTCCATATCTCGACAGGAACGTTGCACACATTCTAGAAAATAAGAGAGAATTCTCAGTCATAAGTAATAGCTCAGAATTTCTCAACAATTCAACTATTGCTTTGGCCTCGACAATATCGAACATACTGTTTCTTTTGTCTCGTGTACATTATTTTCCTGCCTCGATGATACCAATGTTCTCCCACTCGGCCAGAAAGGCTTTCCTGCCTTGGACAGGGAATTCGAGGCAAATTGACTCATCGAAATCCTTAACAGAAGGACGAAGGATGCGCAGGTAGACAAGCTTAGCGTTCGTCGATGGCGCAAACGTTTTTGACTTAAGGAACAATGAAATTCTGAAGGGACTTTACACTTAAGTTGATACGCTGTAGTATTGACGATTCATCCAAACATGTGATTAGAGAGGGAAGACTGCCCAGTCAGCCCCCTGATTATTAATCAGTGACCTGGTATGAAAATTTGCAATAGCATCATGTATTCCGAGGAGTCCATACGTAGATATCAGATTAGCGACGCCATATTCTAAAATATTTCTGAGCATTTTGACGTTTAACGACAAGGCAGTAGATCGGTATTTCCCTCCAGCTGAGTACAAACGATACACTGGCCAAGAGGGACATAAATAACCGTCAGACGTAAATAATTCGACGCTTTGATTCAGTCACCGTCGAATTCTATACAGTATAATGGTCGGTGTACCAAATTTCCAGAAGAATATGCGGGCTTTTTTTTTATTATTCTCGTCTTTTTTCGGAAGATACTTATCATCATTGCTCGTGTATTCGAGAATCACTAGACCAGAGGAGAGGCGTCCGGTCTGATGCGGCGATAACCAAACGTAATTATAAAAATTATATACATTTTCAATATTTTAGAGACGAATTGAGTATTAGTAAAAATCTACGGTTGTTTAAGCGGTAATAGTAGAAAACAACTGGGGAATTGCAATGAAACAACCAGAACCACTCAAAGGATTCGCTAATATGGACACATTGAATTGAGAGCTCGCCACCGCTTACGATAACCCATCCGGTCGCTTCATGCTGTATGCATTTGCACGGCGATAATCACTCCAGTCATTGCTGTGTTCATTCGCTGTGAAGATCGCTGTGTTCGCGGCCATGCGCGATGAAACGCGCTACTGGGACGCAGTATGAAGTTGACAAGCTACATTGTTTTTGTGAGCACCCTGATTCTCGAGTGCTTTTGCTGGATTTGTTAGTGTTTTTAGTTGTCTCGCACTGAGAAGGAAATCGAAGATATAGTAGTTTAGCGGAAACAAAAACTATTTAGTTCATTTACATTTGAAGAGAAGCTGTTTATTGATTGAACATGTTTTGTATTGATCGTGAAACGAATAATTGTTCTGAGAATTTGCTTGCTAACCTCAAGAGACATTTTTTGAATCACTGTGATTGTAAAAATGAGTAGTGAAGACAAATTATGAGGAAAAGAGTATTCTGTAAACGTTTTCTTAAATTCTGAGATCCCTACCCCAAATCAATATCTACTTTTAGGGCGAATTCCATCCGACAGCCGCTTACACTTTGCGTCGCGATGGGACGCATATTTCACCTTACAGTAGACATTAACACACTTCGCTGACTCCTCTGATATGTGGTCAGCAGAACGCGAGGCCCCCCGCGACAACACATACGTGAGAGACAAGGAACAAACATCCATTTGTGTCCAGAAGAAACACAAGGGACCATCTCAGCATTTACTCGAAGTATCAGGAAAACTGGTCGTAAAACCTGTCCGAGATGGGTGAATGGGTGTTGATGGGAATTGATGCTGTCTAATAGAATTGCAATATTTGAAGTCAAATCCCCGTGAACATTAGTTAAATGTTGGAAAGAAAAAAGCATTGACTTCGAATTTAAGGTAGTTTTCTGTTTTGCCAAATGAATATGCACGATACCAGTTCCAACAGCATCCGTAGAAAGAAGTTTTCTGGTTCAAAAATATAGCAGAACTTTAAAAGATCATCACTAGCAGAAGAGAGAATGTGGAGATTGTGAGTATTAATTAAGAAAAACTCATTGAATCCAAAGGAGAGAAAGAGGATTTCTACAACTCCTTCAAATATTTGACACTTAAATAGGATTAGTCGACTATGTATGTATTTAGGTACTTGGCGCGACCGTGAACGGGCTCAGGCCTATCGGCAACGTCCCTGCCTCGCGTTAAGGGGGTACGTGTGGTTAGCACGTAGACATCTCAACGCCGTATTCCTGTCTTCTCAACCTGAGAAGTGAATTTCCTCATCGTCACACAGCAACATCTACTGGAACATTGCAAGGAAAACGCACACTATAATCTTGCCCAACGGAAATCGAATCCGGTGCCGCGTTGTGGAAAGAGAGCACGCTGACCCAGAGCTACCCACGAAGCTGAGTCGACTATAATTATGAATGTTTATTTAATAAATCCAGTATGTCAATGTAACGGTAACATGAGAAACGGAACGCGTTATTTTAAAAGAGAAATGATTCACTATTTCATGAATGTAAATAATTTAGAATCTAAATTGATGTTTATAACAAGGTCGTTGGACAGGTCTGTAGCATTGTCTAGCTTTCCATAAATGGTTTTTTGTTTCTTCTGCATTTGAAAGCTCTACAATATCTACTTTATTGAAGTCTGTCAGAGCCGTCGCGAAGGGCTCCAACGCATTGGAGTGGGTTCCCAGAACTGATTCGTGATGCATTACAACAAGATAATAAGGGTAATACGTAGCCGTTAGGGACGCAACTTCCGATCGCGTGACAAAGCCCGTTGTTTATACAGAGACTGTCCAGCGTCGCGAATCGTGGATGGCCAGTATAAAATGCTGAAATGACAGCCAAATGGTTAGTGAACTATTGATCCATTTCGGTTTTTTTTTTTTTTTTTTTTTTTTTTTTTTTTTTTTTTTTTTTTTTTTTTTTTTTTTTTTTTGCGTGGAAGGGAGCGCGTTTTCTCGCAGAACAATCAACCACAATAAGTGATAACCGAATATCAAATGCATTTGAAATAATCATTTCCTTTCACATTTATTGGATTGAATGAAAATGGTAGGGAGAAATCAGGAAAAGCGTGGTTTTGAGCTTTCAAAAACTGAACACCAATATTGTGACGACCCTTTCTTCCCCGTTCCCATCGCTTTTTTCACCCTCATTTTTAGGAAGAGACCCCAGCACTGGCCTCGCTACTGCTCTAGATTTATATAAACAACATTCACACATGGAAGAAAAAGAATAAAATCATTCAGAAAACTGCATCTGGACATGCTAATCTCGCCCTTTCCCTAGGAACGTTGAGAGCCCTGGTTTAGAGGGCGTGCTAAAGTGGTAATAACTACCTCAAAAACACTAGTAAATAATGTTTATCTGCTTATTTCCTTGCGCAAAAGAAATAACTGTCGAGTAAATAAATCGCATATTAATAAACCACTTAATGACTTAACATGTCTATTCGGAAGTTAAAATATTTAATAAGAAAAAATTTAAAACGTATAATTAACGAATTGTTGTCGGCCGTATTAGAGAAATGTCTTAACATTTATTACGCTCGTGTGTTCAAAAGATCCAACATTAAAATTAACTAAAATTTCTTAAGAACACCTCCCATTACAACCGCATCAAAATATTTCTTTACCTAAGTTTTGCGAATAGAAAAAACGTTTTTGTATTTTTATAAATTCTGGTATGTAGGGTAAAGTTGTTATCTAGACCACATTTTCCTTTTTCATTTTTACATATAATGTTTTTAATAAGTTATCCAAATGTTTATTATGTAGTAAATTAAATCAAATTTAAGGAAAAAATATTTCGTGGGATGCTGAAAAGGAGTAGAGGATTTTGTTTTTCATTTAACACTGATATGAGATTAAATGATCTATCCACTGGGATTAAGCGAGTCATACGTGTGTATGTTGAACACAGTTCTATGTTGTGAAGAAACACTGGAAAAACTCAAGACTTTATGTATTATATAAAACATTCTGCAGCAAAATCAGCCGTATTACGCAACATATCTGCTATTTTTTTAGATCACCTGGTGATTCGGATATATGAAATTTTGCATATTCATATGCAAGGTTCCTTGCAGTTGTTGGTAATTAAACCATAGTGAATGAGACTAGCCGTTGTAATTCAAATAAGTTGGGAGGAACGGGGATACTTTTGGACATTTTTATTCTTTTATTTTTTAACGTTAAGTCCCAGCACCACTAAAACTTAATTTTTTCCTATTATCTTTATTTTCCTAACCACGTAGAACATAAATAACATTTTCACGCACAGAAAATATTTTTTTTCTTTTTTCTATAATTTTATAGCGTGTTTCAAATGGGAACAATGGGAAGATATAGGGTCTACAGTCCATGCAGTGCAGAGGAGCAGTGTATTTGCGCCAAGTCGTTACAAATTACCGAAATAATTTGTAATATTGCTTATTTTACATTTTGCAACATCATTGACTGGAATGAGGCGATGACCTCATCCAGACTGGCTTGGCTTTGAATGTAATGGTTCCACGGGGTCCTGGTCTTAGTTTTGTGGGGTGTGACACCACCATTCTCGCAACAATTTGTCCTGTGGATTCATGCTGGCTCAGCTTTTCATTTGGAGAAATAATGCAATGCATTCTTCCTGCTGCAACTCTTAGGGTGTTTATACAGTTCAAAAGAATAGGCTAGTGCCATTTTTATCTTATAACTGACTTGTACTGAGAAATAAAATGATCCTACAAATCTACTCCTCTCCTATAGGAATTGTTTGAAATTAGAGCAGGCTGTGGTATTTGCACATGTCTTTTTTGATTTTGACCTCATATCGCTTTGCTTGTCGCAGAGGGTGAACAACATCATTGTTTGAAACGAGGCACACTTCATAGATGTCTTTTCATTTGACAGTCAAAATATCTCCGTGACACTTGAAATCATTAATACCTCTCTCTAATTTATCTGCATTTTTCATTTCATCCAAAGTATCTTTAGGCGCACTTCTCTCACACCTTCTTCAGTAAGCGCCCCGTTACCACCACCGGGAGGCAGAATAACGAGATCTACCTCTACCTGTAATATCCTCCACTAAATTAGGAATTTCCTCAATTCCCTAATATTTCTTGAAAGACAGTGTGTATATAGAAAATAATAAAATCAGAAAGCTTATTAACAATAAGAAATTGCAACAAAACAATAAAAACGTAATAGTACAAACAAACAAAAATTCGTGGATCAATAATACACAGTATCTTCCCAACTGGGAACTTCGTAAAATAAACTTTCACATTTTCTGCATAAGAAGTTACGATTGTTGATATTCATAACAATATTGTCCAATGTTTCCTTTACTTACCTGCATGTACCTATTTCCGTAGAAAAGAACAATTTCTAAACAAAAAAATTAATTATTGCCTGGGAACGACTTCTTGAAAACTTTGGATATGCTAACTTCTCTAACAACGCAGACTCGCAGCAAAAGTAGCGTATTGAATATTTCTGAGGTTGAGCAGATCTCTATCTCTCCCCTGATAATGGTTTCATTATCAGAGGAGAGATAGACCGCTTCCAAGAAAGAAAATTCTACGTGTTCCCAAAAAGGAATAATGGGACATAATGGGTTGCTCCCGATATGTGTGGTAGTAGAATACATGTGTATATGAAGGGAGAGGATTATAAAAATGAGGAAGGGAAAATCGCGCGCGCTCCGTAGACCATATGTACCGCTCGTAAAGCACTGCTGTGCTGCCTACTGTTGATGGGAGAAACCACGAAAAATTACCGATGAGAGCAGTATATATATATATATATATATATATATATATATATATATATATATATATATATATATATAAGGCATTTACAATATAAAAAGAAAGTATTGTAATTAACAGCAAAAATCGCCGATTTTTCGAAAAAAGTGTCAAAAATCCGCTATCGGGACTCGAACGCTAGGACCTCTCAGTCAGGAATGTTGCATCCGCAACGATTGTCACTGAACCATCGCAGTGCTTCTGTGGATAATCCCGATAGTTGGTAGTTCAAGCTCTCGGGCATCGTGAACTCTATAAATTAGAAAGACTAAGATAATATCCGGTAAGATTTCCGAGATCAATGGGCCACAGTCCACTTAACCCAAAAGCTTTGGACCCGTTAACCCCGTTGGTACTTTTAAAATGTAATTTAACCTCAAGCATCATATACCGACACAGGTGGCTCAGGGCATCAATTGATGTCACTGCAGTGTCTCTGACCGGGGGCCCTAGGGTCTGAGTCCTGACGATGGCAGGATTTTCGATACTACAGCTAGGAGTCGAATTCAGTCGCTGTCAGGAGGACAGTTCTAGGGGCCGGTTGCTCTGATCCTACCGATCATTTCTCCGATCAACACCAGGCGAATTCCGATGCACTATCCTCACGAAAGGGCCGAGGACCTCCCGCGATCTTTCCTTCCTCTTCCTTGTTTATCCTCGCGTCTTTCTTACCACACTTACACTCACATGCACTTCACTATCACACTTGTCGGGAGCTTTGAGCTTGTCCCGACTAGGGCAGAGACACGCTTTGTGGGAAAAATCACCGCAAGCCGACTTAGGTCGGCACCGGATCTCACCATCCAGCAGGGAAAGTTCACCGCCACCTCAAGCGATAAACATGCTCTCCAATTACGGGACTATCGACCGTTGCACTTGACACGCCCGGAATTAATCTATCAAGCATCATGGGCTATGCAAAATGCTAATTTCAAAAATGCTAAAAAGTTCAGATACTACCTAACTCAAATTTAAAGGACGAAATAACTCAACAGGCAATAACTTTCAACAACTTAACAGCTTCAAATGTGCAAGGGAGCGTAACTAATTCTAGTAAAAAAATAGTATAAAAATATTCTTACAAACATATTTTAGATGGTCTGGCTCAGTTAACCTCCAGTAACAGTTAACCTCCCTCTGCCCTACTCTGTGAAAAACCAAAAAAAAAAAAAAAATCACTATAATGTTTTCGTTTGTTTGACAGGATGGGATTGGCTCTTCATGGTGGCTGCAGTGGATTGAAAAGCAGTCATCATGGTCATTCGCATGGCATGCAAATCCGGACTCCTTCAACATCCACAAATGATGGCTGTGAAACAACAGGTAGCCGCAATATAAATGTCCGAGCTGCGGTCATACATGTAGTGGGCGACCTAGTACAAAGTATTGGCGTTTTTATTGCTGCTGTCCTCATAAAATTTTGTGTAAGTTTCGTTTAAACTGTAATGTTTTATTATCATTACTGTTTCTAAGGAATTTTATAAATGTATACTATACGAAATAATGAGTTTAATTGTTCGTACTTTATCACAACACTGATATATTTGAATTAATACAAAGAGTCACCGTTCGAATTTCCGAAAAGAAAATAATCCTAGAAAATTGAGTTAAGCGTTACAATATTGTCTTTCGTTGTTTTCTGAGGCTTTTTTCAGTTTCAGGTGAATGTCGATTTCCACTATCTGCACTGGATACGCACAATGTCCCTCTTAGGGACACACGGAATACATTTACATAACAAAAAGCAATAGATCAAATTATAACTAACAAAACCCCAACTAGATATAAAATAAAAAATACTAATTTAGTTTACAGTGACCATGATGCACAAATTCTTACAATTACTAATAACATGAACACTGACACAAATTATACACGCATGTGTAGAGCATTCACTAAAGTTCACATAAAGTTATTTACGGACTACTTGCTGAAAGAATCATGGAACACACTTAATAACGCTGTTGCCACAAATGAAAAATAAAATATATTTTTCTCAAAACTTTCATTTCACTTTATCGCATGATTTTCTCTCAAAAAGAGAAAATTAAATATTTCGCCGAAAAATACTACTGGATCTCAGGTATTAGAATATCGTGTAAAAACAAACGTACGCTTTACTTTATTCCTAGACATCATAACATATCATCCGGTTTCCATGTCTACTTCCAAGAATACAAAATAATTTTAAGGAAAGTATTTTTTAGGCATAAATAATGAAAAATAATCAGGATATTTTGAACCCTAGTAACAAAACTAAAGCAATGTGGAATATCGTAAAAAATACGACTACATCATCTCGTTACTTCGTAGAGAATGTTGTTTTAAAGGATAATGAAAGAGAAGCCAGTAATCATTACCTTCCCAAAAAAATTTCGACACGATGTTTATTTCCGAAACTTTTTCTAATGAAATCCTGAGAATAGTCTGTAAACTAAAAAATAAATATTCATCTGGTTGAGATGAATTCCTCGCCCTAGATTGAATAACCTCGTACTTTAAACATCGATCTCAAAGAGTTGAAATATCGTACTGGCCCGAAAGGACAGTATTTACTTATCGTTGCAATTCTTTACCAATTGAATATGTCTGCAAGTCCTGCAAGGCTCGATCTTAGGTCCTATCCTCTTTCCGTTATACGTAAACAATATGCTGTCGTCTATTAAAAACGGATGAACGGTTCTGTTTGCCGATGACACGAAAATTCTTTGCGAAAAAGAAACAATAGTACGATTTCAGAAGTTTCAAATTGGTTTTCTAATAAATTAATAATTAACAAAAGGAAAACGGTTTCAATGCATTTTTGCATTTCAAATCAGCAATCGCATTCTCCCTTGAATATGAACAATATGCAGTTAGCTGATATTAAAGTAATAAGATTGCTATGTTTCTCAATTCAGTCAAACTTGAAATGGAATGTACATATAACAAAATTAAACACTAAATTAAGTTCATTATGTTATGCAGTCAGAATTCGTTCAAATTCTATCGGCCTTCGTGCTGTTCGTTACGTGTATTTTGGAAATGTCCATTCCCGCCTGAGATATGGCATAATATTATGGGGAAACTCATCTTGTAGTTCTCACACCTTTAGGTTGGAAAAGAAAATGATTCGAATAATGAACAAATGTCATCCGCGTGATCCCTGCAAGCCTCTCTTCATCGAGCTTGGAATCTTACCACTGCGTTGCCTATATATTTACGAGTCTGTTATGTTTGTCAAAAGTGACTTACTTAACAGTGGGAACATATTTTCATGCAATACTGATCTTTATCATCACAACACAAGTCGTAGAAATCACGTTCATCAATTGTCAGTATCACAAGCTTCCTATTAGAAAGCCACATACAATACATTTACGTTACTTTATATCGCATTGCCAGATGACATTAAACAATTGAAGTCGGTTCAGAAATTTAAGTTAAAAGTAAAAACTTTTCTGCTGCACTACTTTTTCTATACAATTAGAGACTATACTGATTATCAAAAGGAAAATGTTTATTTTAACAAAACATTGAATTAGTTTAAATTTTATTGTATAATTTTTTTAAAAAGACCTAATGTTTGTAACAAATATTGTACTTCAGCTTTCGCGTCAATGGCCCTCATCTCGATCAGGCTTTTGCCTAGTTTCCCTGATCCATTGAGCAAATGCTGAGATGGCCCCTTGTTTTGCTTCTGGACATAAATATAGCTTCACTATGCGCACGTTTTGTTGAACTCTCTTTTTGCGTGTAATGATAGGAGTAGAGGTAAGGACGAGTTACTATTTTGTAAGCAATGCAGAAAAATCTTACTTGCAATTCGTCTACCAATGGAAATAAGCTTTTTTATAACTCGGAAACGAAAATGTCTATTTTTTTCAAATATTGGTAATCTCGCACTTTTTAAAATTTATTTTCATTTATTTATTTTAAACTTTTTCTCATCGTTCAACTGTTTATACTTAAATGATGGGAAGGGATTCTGGAACTCAAGAAATCGTTCGCAGATAATCTTCTCCCCAATACGTCACATAAATTTCTTTACTGTTTTTTACTAAATAAATCTAAATAAATGTAATTAACCTTTTACACTAAACACACTTGCGGGCATCTGGGTCTGTGGTCAGCAGACTCACAAGGCCTTCCGCGATAACACATACATGAAAGACAAGTGACAACCAACCATGCGGCGTGACTCGAACCCACGACCGCTCTAGCCATCTCGGCCATCCACGTTGGCTAATATTGTCTTAGAATATATTATTTGGTATATGCCGAGGCTTGTAATATTTTTCAATTGTATAGACACAACATATTTTGCGAGGTCCTGTTTTTTAAGATACTACATATTTTCATTGATAAAATATTTTGTTATATATAAAAAACGTGTGCACATTGTTTAATTATTATAAGTGGGAAATGAGAGTGCCATGCCTCGGGAATTTCATGAAATGTTCGAGACCATGGACCGGGAGAGGTGGCTCAGGGCATCAACTGACGTCCCCTTCTGTGCCTCTGACCGGGAGATCCTAGGCTCGAGTCCCTACGGTTTTCGACGGTAGCTTGATAGCGAGGTCGAATTTAATCGCGGTTTGAAGGAGAATTCTAGCGGCCTAGATGATGGCTACTCTGATCAAAAGTTTTCTGTGGTTTCTCCGATCAACACCAGGGGAATGCCGGAGTAGTACTCTAACAATTGGGCGCGCGATACCCTCTTCCTTGTCCTATTCTCACCCCTTAAAAACAAACACATACATGCATGACACTACCACACATGTAGGGAGACCGGTCGGGAACTTAGATCTTGTCCCAGCTGGGGCGATGCGCCGCTTGTGGGAGATACCTAGTTTGGGAAAACCCCGCTAGCCGACGCAGGGAAGGTCGGCGTCGGATTTCTTCATCTAGCGGGGGCAGGGAAAGATCACCGCCGCCGCCACCACATATCGAGGAAAAACACGCACTGCACGTACGTGACTAATGAACTTATCTCTGTTGACGCGCCCGGAATCACTAATCAATTGAGACCACCTCGAGAATGCACAGCAAGTTCCAAAAGTCTCTGATGCATTGTGTAGCCCTCTCCACTCACCTCACAAACTGCGGGTGTTAGACCGGTATCCACTTGCTGTTCTAGTAAAAAAAAAAGTATCCTCGTGTTCATGCATATTGTGTTCCTAGCGAAAAGATATTTTCTGAAGTCGGGACATACACACGATCTCAGAGAACGGAAATATCGTACTGGAATAAAGGGTAATTTTTTACTCACCTTTCCGATTCATTGCCAATTGCACATGGGGTTTCGCGGGGTACGAGTTACGGCTCTATTCTCTTCCTACTGTATGTAAACGATATACCCTCGTCGATTGGAAATCTTATTGACGAGAGCAACGTTGACCTCGGTTATTATTATTATTATTATTATTATTATTATTATTATTATTATTATTATTATTATTATTATTTTTATTATTTTTATTCATAATAATTATAATAATAATTATTATTATAATGAATTATGAGGTCATAAGATGATGATGAGAGGTCATCGTGACCTTTTCTAACCATCCCAGCTTTCGCCACACAAAAAATGCCTCGAGGGAAACCACAAAAAAACCTGGTCAGGATGGCCGGCCCGGGAATCGAGCCTGGACCTCCCGACTGCGAATTCAGCGCGCTCCGCTCGGTCTCTTCGGAATCGAAGAACAGTTCTTTTTGCTGATGATACGAATATTCTTTGCAATAAAGAAACGGCATATCATTACAGATTTTCAAATTGGTTTCGTAATAACAAATTAATTGTAAGGGAAGGGTAAAGGGTTTCAGTGCAGTTTTCTATTTCAAATAAACAAATGTACATACCAAAATTAATGATGTTCAATTGACTAATGTGATGGTAACAAAATTTCTGAGACAATTTATTCAACCTTCAAATAAAACGTTAGTATCAACAGTCCATTTAAATGAATTAAACACGAAGTAAAATTTATTTTCTGCTTAGGTGTTCAGGCGGTCAGAATTGAAGGGCGCAGTAGAACAAGGGTCTAATCCACATTTTTTGTGAAATTGATTTATTCTTTTAGTGTAATATTTTTTTAATTAAATGTGGACTTATATACAAGTATATTGTGTTTAAAAGTGAACTGAATTGTATGAAATTCTAGTAAAAACCTCAATACCTCAGAACTAGGTCACTCTGGGATAGCCCCTTGTTTTACAGAGCCCTTCAATTCTTTCAAATTCAGTCAGTCATACAGCTCGTTATGTACATTCCGCAAATGTTGAAATCCGCCCGATGGCATAATATTCTGAGAGGATAGCTCCCAAACTTGTATATTCTGAGGGGATATCTACCAAATTTGTATATTACAGAAAATAATTCTTTGAATAATAAGCAAATCCCACCCATGTGATCCTTGTGTCTCTTTATTAAGCTAGGGATCTACCATTGGCTTGCCTCTTGATTTACGAATCAGTTGACGTACTCAACGCTGTGAAGGTATTTTTAGCCAGTACGGATGTCTATAACGACAACACTCGTCGAAGTAATAATATTCATCAGGTGTCAGTATCAACAACTCACTACAAAAAATTCACTTACAATATATGTACATTATTTTACAACATATTGCCAGATTATATTAAACGATAAAATTCGAAACAACTTTAAGTACCAAATATTTTCTGCTGCATAATTGTTTGTATACAATTAGAGGATACACTGGACAACAAAAGGGAAATAATATCGATTTTAACAATGATATTCAGTTTGTTAGTTACGATTTGTAATCTGTAATTCTAAGTCTAAATATGTCTGTAACAAATATTGTATTTCAGTTTCTAGGTCAATGACCGTCCAGTTTCTTTGATCCTTTGAGCAAATGCTGAGATGGCCTTTTGTTTTGCTTTTGAATATATATTAGTTTCACCATAACTTCACTATTTATGCATGTTTTCTTGAACTCAGTGGGAAATATAGTTATTCTAATAATCGTTCTCCATTTTATCGCGGCAGAAAGTCACGAAGAGCCTGTTAAGGGATAGTATCCAAAATCTGTATCCCCCCATGGTACCGTACGTCACAGTAGTTTTTGACATTAATACAAGTGGGCCATCTATCTGCTGAGAGAGTTTGTGGTGAGTGCTTGTCCGTTGTTTAAACCAGTAATCGTGCAACTGCTCTGGGCCCGGTGCAGACAATTTTTTTCATTAATTGGGCTCACTGTATCTCACATCTCTGTCGTAATTCTGAAGTCTTTACCCTTAGCCCCCAGTTCTGAATGGAATATTATCTACTGCAAAATTGAATAATTACTGCCCGACGCGAAGGGTGGTTTTGCAATCTAACGCGTGTCAGTGCGCAGAGCTCACCATTATTACCGTCGTCTAGAGACTTGTACGAGTTTCGTGGATTCTCTAGCGCAAGAATTAACCGCTGAACTGACTATTCCATTTTCTCTTGTGGAGAAACTTTATCAATACTAAAAACATATATTCTTATATATTTTAGAGCTGAAGACAGTCATACAAAACAAACGTGGAACAATTAATACTCTACAAATGTGTACAAGGTGCAGTGAAATTATTCTAATTGGACACCAGGATTGCCTGTATGAGAGATCAAGTGTTACGTACTTCACCTTGTGGAAAAGGTGTACGATATAGTCATGTATCTAAATTGAGAAGTTTCACTGTACTAACTGTACCACCTAACATCATTTAAGAGAGCAGAATTCCATTTATTAATTAAAATTTGTATTTTTTCTGAACAGCCTTCAGCTCGATGGGCAGATCCTGCCTGTACACTTCTCTGCTGCATTTTGGTTCTGGGCACATCGATTGGAGTGGCTCGGGATGCTGTGATAGTTTTATTGGAGGCATGTCCTTCAATACCCGCACTTCAGCCAGCTGCTTTGGTTATGCGTCTTCGAAGTGTGGAAGGAATACGTGGTATTCATGATCTTCACGTATGGTCCCTTACACCAGGTCAATCTGCATTGACAGCTCATCTTATTATAGGTGAGTCCAAGTGTTACGTTCGGGTGCAATACGAGCTTAAATAGGTTCAATGTTAAATTGGTCAGTTGAAGAATTTGTAAGAAAATATCGGCTACATATGACAGTGTTGCGATCCTTCACATTTTTAGTGAAAATGTGTATAGACATATAGTTTCAGCCATCATTTAATGAAAAATGTGTTAATACCAGTGAAAATATTATTCTTTCGGGAAATGTGTAGAAATTAATTAGCAATAAGTAAATAATTATTGAATACGACTTATTGTTTATCAGTCACAACATTAAATAAATAGAGATGCCAAAATTTCCGTGTGAATTTGCAGACTCGTGGGCCTTCCTTACTCCCAAAGAAATTGAAATATTTTGAAATAAATTTTTATTTTTTCAAAAAACACCAATCCGAAACGCTTTCTTATATTGTTACGAATCTTCTCAGTACGGCTCAACATTATTGCTACTGTCGAGGATTTTTGCTTGCTAAGATCTCGCCGTCATCCAGTGACAGGTGTGCGAGTCGTGTACTGTACCCCTAGACACTCGGAAAACGTGCCAGATTTGCCCGACCGTGTTTAATTGTATCGCGAATAAACCCATTGACACCCATTGTTTTCCTGTTCGGGTTTACCGCGGTCCGCATTCTAGGAAACGTTTTACGTAGGAAAAGTTATGTAATGCTGCGGAAAATTCGATTTCGAGATTTCGTCGGAAATACACGTTTTGGGGTCTCCTAATACCGAAAGAATAGTTATTTTCAAAACGTCCGTGTGACTGTCCGACTGTGAACACCACTAGCGTATACGTAGGATTTTTTCCAAATTGAAGAAACCATTGTCCATCTGGCTGGAGTCCAAGCTTTGTGTTTTTGAAAATCATTCTTTAAAATTTGGAGGTACTTTATATGAAGTTCTCCAGACGGTTTCAAAATTTTCTTGAAAGCGGCTCCAAATTTTTTCTTGAAATTTTTTGTAAGAATAGAGTAAAATTCACTTATAAAAGTGGCATATATCCGATTTCCACGATTACCTCTGAATTTTCGATAATTTCAAAACTTTCAATTTTTTTCGGTGTCTTCCTACAACTACAAAATTAAAAATAAAGATTTTTCCTACAAATAAGATTTGTTTTCCACAGTACACACATTTCATTCAGGTCGTATACACTTTTTTGAATAGTTTAGTAGTTTTCGGGCAATATTGCGAGCAATATGTGCAATTTTAAAAAAATACATAAACAAGATTTTCTCAAAAACGACTAAATTTTTTTTCTGTAAACTTTTGGTAGGGATAGTGCTAAATGTACTCTATTATATGACATAAATGCCATATTGCTGTATTCTTTCGTTTTTTCAAAAATTACAGAAATGTAATTTGTTTGAATAGCCTCTCTCGTCCTTAATATTTACTTTAACGGCGATTTATTCACATTATTGCATTTAAAAGTACATGTACTTTAAATAATATATAAAATTTCTCGAAAACTCAAACGTTTGCTGTGAAAACGAGCTCAAAATTCCGCATTTTCATGAAACACTCAAACGCCATTTTCTCAAAAACGGCTCCAGGTTTTTCTTCAAACTTTTCGTTCGGATAGTGGTAATTGCACTGTTTAAGATTACATCAAATGCATTTTGCTGTATTCTTTTCTTTTCAAAAAATACACAAATATTATTTTTTGAAATATCTATCATGTCTTAATATGCACATTTCCAGCGATTTGTATACATTATTGCATTTGTGAGTGGAAGTGCTACAAATTAAGTTTTTCGAATTTGCAAAATATTTTTCTGAAAAAGAGCTTCACATTTTACATTTACAGTAGAGCTTAAACAATTTTTTGCGAAAAGGCGTTCTAGATTTTTTAACGAAAAATTCCATTTATGACGAGGTTTCACTCTTCTTTAATATTCTAAAAGTAATATTTCGAATCTACTATACGGAAACATAAAAATTGAGAAAACTAAAAAATATATTTTGGGTAGCGATAGATGGCAGCTGGCAAGAGTATGGAGCAAGACCGTAAAGCTAGCCCAGACCAAAGAAATTAGAAAACTGAGTAGTACGAGAAAGCCGCGAAAGTGGTATTCTATAGCTTCAGTAGTTTCTCTTTTTATGACAAGTGCAGCGCTCTGTATTATTTTACTCTAAATATGATTAATGTATTAATTAAATCTAAAAATTTAACTTACTACTAGCACTGTGTTTGAGGAAACCGAGTGAACTCTTACTACACTTCATTCCGGAAAATATTTTTAAGAATATGTGGGACTGGTACTTGCTGTGGAGTTGTTATGTTTTCTCTGTTTGGTTTTACGCTTTTTGCTTTTATCTAGGTTGAATCCGTTTAGATTTATTCTTTAGGTTAGAATAAAAATAGGTGATACGTATATGATGTGCTGGGTTATGGGTCCAAGACTGAATAATTTGTGAAACTGCTTCTTTTATGTGAACGTGGTTCATTTGTTATAATTATTAGTATTTGATTTTGAATAATTTGGATTTTGTTTGGATCGGTTTTGGTTGCTTCTAACCATATTGAACATGCATATAGTTGTAGGGGTCTGTTGTTTTAAACATTGTGAGTGGAAAATCGCTGTTTCTATTTATTCATGGTTTTAATTGAAATAATTTAGTTTTGGCTTGTATTATTTTAATGTCTGTATGTTGTTTCCAGTTTAGCTGGGAATCGAAATATACTCCTAAGCGAGGTACTATATTGCTAACAAAATAGGAAAAGTTAAAAATTGTTCAGCGTCTTCCCTCAAATACAATATTAAAAATATACATTTTTCTGGTAATGAAATCTGATGCTCAAAGATGAGTTTTCAAATAAAGTCTTGTAATAAGGTTTAACAGAGTTTTCGAAAATATAAGTAGCTTTGCGTGAAATATAGATAACTTTCAAACCATAATTTTCTCAAAATCGGGTCGCAAATTTTCTTTTTAAATTTTCTCCTCGTGTGTATCAAAGATCGGTAAAAAACTGGTGCTGGCCAATTTTTCGGCGAATACTGTATTTTCGAAAATTGTAAAAAATTAACACGCGCAAATTTATAATATTTAAAATAGATATTTTTGTGTTAAATGAAATCTGTTCTAAAGAATCACATTTTAAAAAAAGGATAAGTACAATTGTTTTAAGAAACTAGTATTTTCGCGTAATTTTTACGTGGAGTTAATGGATTTTTTTTAATTATAAAAAGGTTCAAATATTTTTCACTCTATTTTTTTCGCCACACGCTTAAAAATTGCGTAGGTCTGATTTTCGTTGAAGTCTCTGAATTTTCGAAAATTGGAAAAGATAGAAATAATGCGAGAAAGTGTGTTTTGTATCACTAGTAGTTTTATTTAGATTTTTTTAGTAAATTGTCATAACGAATTATTATTATTGATGTTAAGTGTTTGAATTAGGCTAATAAGTTGTTGGGAATTGTAGATTTTTATTATTCTTTTAACTATGTTGGTGTTTGTATTTAATTTAGTTTTAAATTTTTTTATAGCATGTAGTTCTTCCTGGTGTAGTTTGGTGTGTTTGTTGCTTTTGGAATGATTTTGTGTTCGGAGAAAGCGTTAAAAATCGATTCACAAGTTTGTATCAAGTAAAATCGTTTCTGTTCCATAATTGTACACAATTAGAGACTAATATACCTAGCACCAAAAGGAACTGATCTTAACAATAATATTTAATATATTAATTACCATTTGTACTATATACTTCTAAAATACTAAATATCAGTGTCATAAACTACTGCCTGCCCGACAGGCGCAAGTACCTGGGTCCCTCAAAATATTTTTTTTCTTTTATCAAACAACACACTTTGAAAGCCCCTTGTGAAATAGATTTGTTTATTACCATAAATCAACTATTGTAAAGTTTTAATTGCATATTTTATTACGAAGACGCGAAGACATTTTCCAAATTTGTGATTTGACATCCCGAGATCCAAATTATTTATTTCTTCATTGAAAGTTGGGCAGTCCCACAACTGAAGCGTCAGTATCCAACTGGATGGTCCAGGAGAAGTGATATTCTTTTGGCGATTTGGATCAGATATCCTTTTGCAAGTTTTGTCAAAAATAATTGTAACAAGCAAAAGTGCATTTGAGCGAGCGGATACGTGCAACTTGAAAAAAATAAATTGAGACGTTCGGGTTTGTATTTCAAGTTGTATTGCATTAAAAAAAATTGCGACTTATTCTGTGTCTCAAAAATCTGATTTTGATATTTGCCAAGCTCGGGATTTGATTGAAGCAGCTCGCAAGGATGTAAAGATTTTAAAGGTGACTTTGTTAAAGTCGTGTTTTACGAGAAACGTGTAACGTCATTTCAATGAACTGTGCGAAGATCAAGGTGTATCTGACAGCGAAAAACGATTCACAGTTAATGTTTACTTTGCTTGTTTATATATTGTGATTAGTCAGCTGAGCCATCGATTTATTGGCTTAAATAAAATTTTGCAATCACTATGCCACAAATTTTGTTTGCCTTTTTCAGACGAAGAACTTGCGAATAAATGAGAAAAATTCAGCGAGAAATTGTATGACGACGTAACTGATCAACTGTTCACCCAGCTAATATCCGTGCGTTGTCTGAGAAATCTAATGTCGAAGATTTATTCAATCAGAGATTGGGCTAACTTGGTCCTGATCGAGTGCTTCACTCTTTCAACTAGCTTTCCTTACGTCAGCCGGTAATCGTGCTGTTCCCTAACGAGGGATGAGAGGTTATGTTATAGTACATGCGCAGTGTATTGGACATCGACAAAGCGTTCGATGTATACCGCCTCCTAAGAGAGATGAGTCACAGTTTTTGATTGGCCAGGAGGGAGAAGCGGTAAGAAAAATCGGATAGAAAAAGCGAAAAACTTTTTGAGACCGCCCTGATTGGGGCATTTTGTATGTACAGTTGCCTATTGGTTTTAATTTCACGAGTGTCTACGTAAGTCTGCAAAATTAGGTAGGACAGGAGAGGGCGGACCTGGTTAGCTTCTGGATGTAATTGTAACTTCACTACTTGGGCAAGTTTTTAAAGAGTTAATTAGGGAATACAGTCATTAGGGAGTTTGTGCACCCTCAATCGTTTAAGCACTATCGATCTTCTGCGCATGCGTAGTTCAAGTTTCGTATCACTAGTTCATCTGCGCATGCGCATTAGATCGATAGTGCTGTCCGCTATGGCGTGAACAAACTCTCTATTTAAATTATCGTTTTCCATGATTTCACGGCAGTAAGTCGATTCTTACTTAAAGGGTACGATGAGGGATAATAGCCAAACTCTGTATCTAATTTGCCTTAAGAATTAGTTTTTATTACTCGGGAGCGAATATTCTTATCACTTCTTGTAATTAAAAAACAACAACTCCCGTTTCCACTTGAATATGTTCACAATTCAACTAGTAAGTGATGGGTAGGGATCAAAGTATTTGGAAAGCATGCCCAGAATACATTTCTCTCCATAGTATGTCACACGCAGTTTTTAACTGTTTGAGGTTAATAAATAAATAAATAAGTAAGTAAGTAAATAAGTAAGTAAATAAATAAGTATAAATAAATTTTAATTAGGATATTAAATATTTTAAATTTGGAGATGGCATTTCTTATAGAGTTTTGGAATTTCAACCACTTAATTTTATGCTTGTTGGGTTTGAGGTGGAAGTAGTTGTTGAGAAGTTATAAGCATTGGTATTATGTGATCCAAGGCTAGTTCAAATATAGGTGTTTTTCATATGTTGAGTATGTCTGAATTTCTGAGTCTGGCATTTGGTGGGTGGGTAGGTGGGTTCTGTTCCTTTGAAGGTTCCAAAGTAATTATTTTTAGATTGCATTGATATATTATTAATTCCCATTATGGCTATTTGCTTAGAATCTCATTTGTGATTTTGGCACATAGATCCTACTAATCTTGTTTTTATTTGAGGTTGGAATAAATTTGCAATATTTGCATGGCTGTAGGGATTTATATGTCGATTTTATGTTTCAGTTATGGTTGTTTATCATTAACCTCATTGTTGTGATTTCCACTCCTTGAGAGTCAGTATTGTTTATTTGATATTGTTCTATGGTATATTTTACTGATCAGGACTCATCCGCCGTTATTTTCCATTCTATCCGATCTGTACGCAATATCCATTTTATTATACAGAGGAAATTAATTAGTGCTTTTCCCCCGAACGCACCCCTCTCCAATACCACACATCCAGAAAATATGTGCGCCCGTTGGCATCTGATTTTCTTCAGGATACTAGTTCGTGATTGCCCGTATACTGAACGTCTACGCTCGTGTAGCAGAACCGTCACAAGGTAGGTTGTGACGCTCACACTTTGGCCAGGGTATGCAATGGATGGAACGACCGAGGTGCGGACAAGACAAATACGAATCCGAAGAAGAAGAAAAGGAGAAAAAAGCGTGTTTCTTGAGGATAAGATTTAACGAGAGACATGCAAACACGGAAGAATAAAACTGTTCCGTACCCCGATCGTGTGTACCCTCTTTTATGAAACCTTTCGTGCTTGTCACGACCGTCCCATCCACCGCCCTCAGGGTGTAGTGATACACGTACACTTCTCGCAGTGTGAGGGCTCGTAGACTTCGGAAATTATAAATCGGATAAATAAAACTTGCAGAAAAACACGTGTCGGCAAATACTAAATTGGGCATTTCCTTCAAAATTTTTCCTCTTTTTTGCTTAGTTACATTATGCCTTTCTTTCTCTGTGACGAAGAAAAGAAGTGAAAAGAAAAAAAAGAACGAAATTGTAGCACCTTGGAGTGCTGCCACTGATGTAAAATGGAATACTGTACTTCAAGCAGGAATTTCAATGATAAATTAATGAAAAATCGAGGATGAAATATGCGAGCTATTTATCAATTTTTATTCATTTGTGTAGTTTGAAGCGGTTATATTTAAAAGAAATGTCAAATTGTCCGAAGAGATGACTAAGTAACTACTGAGATATTGTGTAGTAATCTATTGTTGTTTTCAAAACTCGTATATTTCTCCCTTGAAATATTAATGATTTATATTTGTTGTACTTATTATTCATTAACTTTACATTTTAGATTCTGCAGTTGACCATGAGACTGTTCTAAGAAAAGCTCAAAAAGTACTCAGGGGTCTTCCTGAACTTGAACACATCACATTGCAAGTCAGCAATGGATCCACATCATGAGAACACGTCAGCATTGAATCTTTACCATATGGGATACATCACAAAAACTTCTTGTGGCTTCCATTTAAAATTTCTTTATGAGACAATTTTTTTTAATGTGCTGAAATTGAATTATCATAGCTTATTTTGCTGTTTCACAGTGGGTTGGGTAATTCACACTTTTTTTAATTTAAATTGGTAGATTTAGCAGAGAGGAAACTGGTTGTTATTTTGTAGTATAAGAATGTTACTTGACGAATTTAATCATTGATATTGAATGATTTAAGTTTTATTATTATTACTGTTGTTGTTGTTTGTTGTTACAATTGGTTTGTTTAGTTCTTAAGTTTTGTGCTATATCAGGGTTACTATTAATAAGATCAATAGAGGGTTCAAACAAAAGCATTTATTGCACATGTATAATATTTTTGTTCCTTGATGCGTAATCTACGTTTGTTAATTACTAAATGTTACATCACAATTAAAGTTTATATTTGTCAGCTACGACATTTTTAATTATTGTGTGGAAGTTGGGAAAAGAATGTTTCTAATGTTGAATGTTTAAAACATTATATTTTAAAATTCTGTCACTATGATAAAATATGTTATGTTTGATGAAGAGCAACCACTTCGTTATTGTATTGTATTTTAAGTACTGCACCACCAAGTTACGTAAAGTTTGTTTGTAATAGTTTGATTGCATTTTGAACTTACGATGAAGTAAATGGATCTCATTTCATAACACTGCAATCATTTATCACAAAAATTCTGTAAACAAATTTATTTTGTAAAAATTATGGAATTCCTTTTTGTCACCAGTTGTTTTCTGTGAGTCATTATAAAGACATATTAGTAATTAATAATTATATCTATTTTAATATAGTCACAATATTTCAGAGCACATAGTTCTATTCAGTTGAAAATGAGATTTCTTTTAAGTCTCTTCCATTTACTATCAAAAATTGGTCATTAGCTTTAAACAGGTTGCAGAATTTTTAGAATAAGTTCATCAAACAATAAATCATGTGTTTCTGTAATGGATAAGTCATAGTGTTACTTTAAACAAACGTATATACATGGATGAACTGCATGACTTCTGGATCTATTTAATAACACTTATTTTTACATAACTTGTTTTACATTACGATTAAGCTCAATTATTGTGCCCATATAAAATAATTTCCTACAACCATACAATTTGGAATAGAGATTTTGCTATAAAAGTGTTATTACTTGATTGTCATATTAAAAATACAAAGAAGAAACAGAACATTCAAACTCAACATAAATAAATATATGCACATCTGATGAAATGACTGGATTCAATAAAGCATAATGATTAGCAATATCTTATTAATGGCACAGTTTCTTTGATTACTACACCAAGTTCCATGAAGAATGGATTCTTGCTATTATGCATATGAAAAGAACTGCATCAGGTGTAAACAGATCTCTTTTGTATAATATAAATTGCAAATTTGTAAAGAACAGATTCATCAGAAGACAGGAAAAGAAAATGATGTGCATTTGATAATTTTGGGAAAGAGAAAATAAGTCCAAGCTATCATCTGACTATCAAGTAGTTGATATAGTCATGGTAAACACTATTGGTATTACCACCATTTCTGCTTTAGTCATTGTTAAATTTGTTAATGTACTACTCTACTAAATTTGCATGCAAGAATTGTTTTCTGAAGGGATTGCCCTATTTCAGAAATTTTATTTTGCTGCACCCTTTTTCTAACCGACGTTCTTTTTTATTCACAAGGAAATATTAATCTAAGGGTATTAAAACTTTTGTTTGGTTGTAATTTACCCTGCATTTCTTCTCACAATTTTACTGAGTTTATGAGTTTATTGAATGAATCAGATCATTAGAACTGTATTTTTTGTCATTAACTGCCACAAAATTAGTTTTGGCAAAAATAAAAATTAATAGACTGAAAAATACTTAATATTATATAATCCATTGCTTCCACATTAATTGAACTTGATTTTTAGTATTTTCATGTTTCTTCCAGTACAACATGAAATCATGTTTATCTATATAACCAAATTACTAGTCGTTTATAATTTTCAATGTAAAGGAAAAGTAGGAAGAAATAATGAGGCCCACAATTCTAAAACCCACATCATCCAAATTTGAACATTTTTGAGGGGAGGGGAAAAACATCTTATTTGTTGCGCTTATTGATTTGTTGTGTACTTATTAATGCTTATTATATTAAAATCATTGTATTTTTTCATGGAAACTTAATATATATAAATCATTGGTTACAACACAAATATTGATGAACTGAAAATCTCTGTGGTGCATTTTGGAACTCTAACGTTGAATGTTCTGGAACAGTCATTGTGGATAAAGATGGATTCTGAAAAAGTAAGGAAGTTAACAGCAGTTACTAAGTAATATATCAATTTTTGCAAATACCAACATATTAATCTTGAACACAATCCTTAAAATTAATAAATCTGACTACTAGTGTTTATATGATAGTAGTTAGATTTTATAATATACAGTAAATAATGATAGGTAAAGGTGTAATAGTCGTGCAAATGTGCCAGACAGAATAATTTTAATTGCTGCACAGAATACTCATTATATACTTGTGATAAACCTTTTTGCTAGTAGAGTATTCTTTCACACCAGGGTTAACCCGTCAAAAATCATGGGATGAAATCAAACACTTGTATTAATAATTGATTCTAACGAATAGTAGTTTCTTTAATACTAAACTACAACACAATTTCTTTAATACTAAATTTTAGAATTTTTTCTTCTCTCAAAATTACCTGTACAATCAGTAAAATATTCTCAATTTGGGGTCCACAGTTTTCTAGGGGACCAGGGGACCACAAAGTGATTTTAGAGAGATCCTGAAGGGGGCCACTAGCTGAAATTTTTAGTTATTTGCCTTGTCACCACTGGTTGACCTGCCCTACAGTAGCCCCCATGGAAGAATCCAATTTAGTTTTCTCTGCTATTTGTTATAGTTATTTAGACACATTGTGTTCTCAAATTCCAACAGCATAAATATCTATCTTTATGTAGTATCTATTATCTCTATGTTTCATATCTTCAATAGCTTATTTGTCAAAAATCTTTTACTGAACATAGCCTACGTGCCAATTGTAGTTTATTTAAAAGGATCATAAAGCAATTTACAAAAATTGTAGAGATACCGCCATGCAAGAATGATTTTAATATTTTGTCCCAAGCCTCCACACAAATTTTAGAGAGCCACTATATTTATTTTCTTTAGAGAAAGCTTGTAAAGAGTTGCTGTATTTTGTAAATTCAAATTCCTTGACTATCTAACCCCACTCACTTGCACTGTAAAACTACATTACGTGGCGTAAAAATACTGAATTTTACCACCAGATGACATCTCAGTAATACCACATTTCATCACAGACCAGTTGGTTATTTAATTTTGTATTGCTTATGGCATGGCAGAGTTGTTCCATTTATGGGGATGTCCCATTTGAAAAATCTATTTTGACAGCATATCCTTAGACCATAAGTAATAATATGCTCAATGATACAAATAGAAGGATGCAGAAAATTGTGAATAAAGATATAATAGAAAAATAGAGAGATGACAAAAGGAAATGCTGATGGAACTTAACATACATTTTCATGAAAATAAAGAGGGAGTTAGGAGCACTTTGTGATTATGATAGATCGTTGTAACAAGGACTACATAAAAAAAAAAAAAGAAAATCAATTTTCTTCAAAATTGTACCCCCGTCATCCACCAAGGTTGGTGTTGGCGAATGTACATTATGTTGTACATTAAAATGCGTCAATTATTAACCTCACCTTGAGAACTATATCATTAAAACAATGTGAGACACATCCTATTTAACCATACATGGAGAATTTATATATTTCATTTGCACTTACTCGCTTTCACTTACAAATGCAGCAAGGATAAAATTATGCAATGCTTTCCAAGTTAATTATGCTAATTATTTATTATAATGTTATTGACCCACGCAAAATTATTTCCCTTTGCTTCTAAAGTGGCATCAGGACCTAAACATTTTCACTCATGATAATAAAAAAATTAATTTTACTTCCTTGTTCCATAAATTGCTATTATTTCTAAAGCTCAGACAGAATAAGCACATAGTTCCTAAAATACAACTTGCTCTTGAAGAGTCATATGATACCTGTATATTAATTAATTCTTTCATAAACCAAATTCACTACTTTTCCAAGGAATAAAAAGAATGAAAAAGCATTAATAGTAGTATTTTTTAGACAGGGAACCATTGTTTGGACTTTGATTATAATTATTTGAAGTGTATTTTAATGGAGATGAATTTGTTTTACAAATTTCCATTACTTGTGGTTCAAGCATGTTAGAGCAGTTGGCAATAATATCTGTGATAAATTACATTATATTAGATAAAAATCTTCTAATTTGAATTTTAGCAGGATTGGACATAATTATGTAATATATGAAATAACTTGTTGAAAACTTTATTGTGTCATAAATTAAAGAGTGCAGTACTAGCTTATTTATTATCTTAATATTGATTAATTATTGTTTTAAAATGAAATAATTATTTATAATTTAAGGAAACACAATTTTAGTTAATTATTCATTAAGAGTTATTAAATACATTTGTTTCAATGAAGAAATCAAAAAAGTTTTTCAAAATTTTTTATTGTATACTTATATGAACATTCAAACTTAAAATAATTTGAAATAAATGGCACTCATCTTAATCAACAAAACAGTAAGGCATGATAACGAAAATTTTATTCATTGAAAGCAGGGCCAGTTAAACATTGTATCTAATGCCATGAGCTGTTTGCTATAAGGTTTTACTTTTGTCTTAAGAACTGTCAACTAGGTAAGTAGACTTGGCAACATTTACGAATTAATAATTACTTTGCTGTATTTTAAAAATACTGGAAAGATTTGCGCATTGATTGATGAAAATTGATGAATTTTATAAATTAATTTTGGAAGGTCTATTTGGTAAAATTTAATAAACAGTTTTACTGTTATTTATTATTCTTTGATAATTCTTTATTGACTTCATTTTCACAGATTAAACAATTTTATTTTATACAAATCTGGATTATTTATAAGAATTACATTAATTAGTATTTATTTTTCTCTTCAATGCTGTAAAGGCTCCACTTCCACCAAATGTTTGTACACAGGTCCTACAAACTCTTTACCCAATGTGAAATCACAAACTTACTTATTTTTGTTAGTGTTTTAGAACTGTAAATTGAAATGCATGTATTTAATGCCAAAATGCTCGGTTGATATACCTTGGTTAAAACATTTATTTGCACATTCATATTAGGTTAATTTGCTTTGAGGTTTGAATTTTGGCATGTTTTTCAATTTTTAGTGTTCATCTTGGGCAAATGTTAAGTAAAATTTACTTTTAATTAATACAAAAGATATGGTGATGAGATGTTGACTGCGGGATGTGAAATGAGTGGGGGAAGCTCAAAACTCCTGGGGGAGGTGAAATGACAACAATAGAAAGGAGAACTGTCATTGTTTACACAATAGTCTGAATAAATTGTAAGAATGCTTTTCAGAACGTTTTGTTTCAATTTCCTTGATTTGGACATTTCAGTGTAGAAATCATAAATGAGGCACCTAGATATGGATTAATTGTGACTCTGGCAGAGGCAATGTGATACTTTTCCAGCAAGGGGTTCATGAGGGCATATCTCTGGCATTCCCTCCCTTATCAATTCACACCCTTATTAACTGACATAGAGGTTACTCAGTATTTAGTGGTAAAACTATTGTTGAAAGGCCCAGGCTCTAAAGAGAGCAATTGCATCCTTGATGTTATCTAGTGAAAGAGTGAAAATTAAATAACAAGACTCTTTAAGAGGTAGGTACAAATCTTTGTTATACTGCTGCATAGCCTGCCATATGTTCACATAAAATATCTATTACTTTGTATTAAAATAGTTTCAAAATCGTTTTCATTTTTTATAAGTGCAAATGGTTATATGAATGCCTACAAAACTAATAAAGTACTCACTAATCATTTCAATTCCCTTGAATACAATTGATCTGTTTTATGTATAGGAATATTCACAGGTTGCATAGGCATGTGCAGAGGGGCGGGGGGCAGAGGAGCCTTGACCCCCTGAACGTTTTCAAAGTAGTCCTATTGCCATATGTGATAAAACATTTTATTTCTGTAAATATTGTGAATTTTTTATCATAATTAAAAATTATGATTCCTGAGAAGTTGAGGTCATGAACAACCACCTTTGTATTATGCAGAAGTAACAACATTTTACAAATTATAATAAACATAGGTCAACAAATTATAACAAACATTAACAATAATTTAAATTATTTTGTCAAAACCTGTAAATTATGGATTTTGTTTTTGACATTTTGGAAAGAAGCTCGCCAGGTCTGACAAACCTATAAATAATGCAACATATTTAATTTATTAATAGCAATCATTAAAGTTATAATTTAATTTCTTTTGTAGTGGATTTGATTTATTTACTAACAAAATGTCATATATATAAAAATTTCGATGATAAAGGGGGCCCAGAAATGTAATTGGAGGCCCCTTCTCCCCTATTGTTTTAGGCTGTGCCCTCCTATGACAAGTTGTAATTATGTAGTCGTAGGCTTCCGCAGCCAGAGTCATGTGAACGATCTTGGCTGTCTGGGCGACAGCTAAGATCTTTCAAGTTGTAATTATGTCTTTTCATGAAATAAATCTTACAACCATCTGAATGTACTAAAGGAAATTTTTTGTTTGTTCTATTATTTATTGTTTTGGATGATTGATAACATTGTGCACGTTATATTTTCTGAAAAGTGTTTTATTACATATCACCAACTATATTCTCCATAAACACGTGCAGTCTAAAA